CAGATTGAGATTGCTCTTCGTTTTCAACAGGTTCACGTGAATCATTCATATTTGAGTCTTGACGACTCGATACAGGGGAAAGAAACTTTTTCTTCAGCTTGGTCAGACAAGGTCTAAACGTTGGTGGTTTTCTCAAAGATGTCACCTTTTCTGGAGGATTTGGAACATCAAAATTGGTAGGAACACCCTTTAAAGGTTTCAAGCGAGTCTTTTTCTTTGATGTAAACTGACTGTCTTCAAAATGATTGGCACATAACACAGATCCACTGTTGAGCTGCGCAGCAGATTTGTGAAGGATGTCTTGCCTTCTTGTGTTAATCACCCATCGTCTACACCTTTCTTCCTCCTTTGGAAATCTAAAGACATGTCTGGGTTGTCAAAGCGGTTGTTTTGCAGTTGATGGCAGCGCAATGTTGGACTCGATGTTTCTTCATTTTCGCAGTGGATTTGGTTGTAGAAAGGCCAGAGGCGGAGACAACGGCACCAGACACGATAGCTTCATTTTGAGTTTGTCTGTTCCTAGCACTGTCACTACTCACTGTCAAAAGTGTATCTGCATTGTGTGAGTTGAGTAGATTTACTATACAAGGACATCGCGTTTCCATTGTTTATAGACTCTCTGATGCTCTCTCATCCAAAAAATTGAATGTGTTTTTGACACTTTAAGATGAAGGGACTCACTGCAAAAGAACAATCAGTTACAGAATGAGGGCGTTTGAACTAAGCAAAGAATAAGAAAGCAGAAATTCCAGATAATCACAATCACAAAACTCGTTTTCGATGCATACATGAAAACAATACCATGTGTACTAACCAGGCAGAACAATGGAACAACGATCTGAAATACTCGTAACAGGTGCGCCGCAGATAAGGAAGCCAGCGGTTGACGCGCAGACATTCCCCCCCGGGAGTTTCATGACCGCGCACGCTTTTCGCCTCATTGCATTATCATAGTATTTATAATCATTGGTCTCACATGTCTCAGCTAAAACATGAAAAACTTTACGCAAGTCCAATATTTCAGCAGCAATTTCATTATTTGTGAACAACGAACAATGAAAAAACTTCACTGGGAGGAACTTTGGCAAGCTTTTATCGGTTTATCGGGACACCCCCCCCCTCCCCCAACCAGCAATCCTTTGTTGTTTTTCATTTTGTAAGAGTATTACAACACTTGAAACATCATTAGGCCATACAAATGCAGAAGCTGACACTTTTTACTAAACGATAACATACAGTATAAAATGGATAGGTCAAACATAGAAGACTAGAAATCACGCATCCGCCGACCTGTGCCTGCCATCCAGTTTTTTTTCTCTTCTCTATTTTTGTAAAATATCCCTCGAACTACGGATCCCTCGAACTACCGGGGCCTGTCTTGACGAATTCAAGCTATCCGTGTTATAGGCCTACTGTAGTTTCAGAAGAAGAGAAGGAGCAGAGGTGAGGACAATAGATGTTTGAGTTTGAAAGGAAAAAAGGAGCAAATCACATGAAAGCACACATCAACCACTCACCAACAATCTTTAAATCAACCAGACCAAACAAGAGGATCAAATTACTTTGACGTAAAAGCACTTAAACTCTTTTTAATGAGAAAATGCTAATTACATGAAATAAATTACATTAATAAAAGGTTTTTCAAATTCACAGACAGTTATGAGACAGAGTCAGGACTCCTCAGATGAAAGATCACTGTATTCATTCGTCAAATCTTCTGTATGACTAGGAACATTGTTAGATTCACTTCCCGGTAGAGAGCTAATCTCCAACTTGGAATAATTACCACAGTTACCAGCATTATGATTTTCCACTGGCTGAACACAGTCCCTTTCGTCATTTTCAGTACTATTATTAGTACTATGTCTGTCGTCACCACGGCAACCGCTGACCCCTCCACTAATATTAATATCACCAACTCCTTCAAAGCAGTCATCAGTTCGGTTAAATGAACCCTGATTAGTTACTACGAAACCATTACCATTATCTATACTTGTAATGACTGTATTATCATTATCACATTCGTTCTGTTCAAGTTCTCTAACAGCATCAATGTCATTACCATCTCTACTTTCCCCATTTTCCAAAACATTGACATCATTACCTCCATTATTATCTCTTTCATTATCGTCTCTCACACTGGTGTCATTATCATGGCAAATTCCAGAATCGTTTCTGGCATCAATATTGTTATCACAGCCATCATCATCACTTTCTTCATTATCATTTTCTCCCGCATCGACTACGTTATCATTCTCAAAATCACCACGGCTGCTTACACTGTACGAATCAACATCATTCACAATTTCAACACCGTCTATATTATTTGTATTTACGAAGGGTAAGTTCTCACTCCTTCTCAGTCCATGTCTGGAGTCATTCTGTCCTGAAAACGGGCCTGTAAAACCAGAAGTCGTAGCGGGATGGTGAAGACCCGCTAATGGCGGTGAGCAGTCTTGCTGCCTCGACGACAACCCCAAAAAGCTGGATGAGGCCTCCGAGGAACGGTGACCAACCAGGCTGTCCTGCTCGGCCATTGGCTCGAGCCCGCTGCTAAACAGCTGCTGCTGTAGAAGTCTGAGCTCCATGTGCAGCTTCATCTCTTGAAGGCGAATGAACTCTCGCTTCTGTCTCACCATCTCGATCTTGTTGATGTAGTAACAGCGCTTTAGCTCCTCAGCGTCTGCCGTCTCTGGGTCGTAGGTGGTGCCGTCTCGCACTTTCTGTTTCTTGCTGGGGCTCGTGCTACTGTGACGAGGCGGGGTCGATACTCGCCTTTTTCTTGGTTCTGTAATCGAAAGAAAGACAAAAACACATGTAGCAGTAGCAACATTATAAAAAGAAGGGTTTTTAAAATTTTGTTTTTTAAAATATATATTTGAGCCTGTACTTCTGTTCCTAGTGTGTATCAACACTTGAGCACACATTACTTCTGTGTCTATCAACTTACATCCAGTCTGATACATGTAAATGCTGGAAGACCCAGGAGTTTTTCATTTAAATTATTTAAATGTAGATGTTCTTACACCCCCTATTGACATAATTTAGATCATTTAAATCATTCAGAACGCATTCTTTGATCCTGCCTTTCTGGACCAGCATCCCAGCAGAAAAACAGATAGGTCCTACTCAATAAAAATTTTCTCAATTCTATCACAAAATGAGTCACATGTTGTGCTTTGACAAGACACTACATAGTGGGTAAAAAATTACAGATCTATTCAACTTTAAGAAGTACCTATTGCTGGTTAGATGCTGCACTATAGTGGGGATTTTTCTATCTTGTTTTCCTGTAGCGGTACTACAACAACACTGTATCCTCATTTTATACTACAGTGGAACTCAGATTCAACGAAGTCAAAGGGCCTAGCCTTCAATTTAGTTGAATCCGAGAGTTCGTTATAGCGAACACGAGTTTTTTGGGCTGATAATTACAGGCATCGAGCAAGTATTGTATACATTTGTATTCGACTTTCTCTATCAAGAGTTGTTTGGTTTCAAATGAGAGGCATTTTTGTTTCTTTGATACCAAATAAATGCTGGAAAATTCAAGGAAAATACACTGTAACTCTATCAAGTACACATAGTGCAAAAGGGCGGATTGGTTCAAAAGCATGCCTATGTCATCTATCATCTATAACTATATAATGTATTGTTTGACGAACAAGTTATATTGCTGTGTAGAGCCTAGCATATGGAAACGTTTGAGTCCACAATCCAGCGTGCAATTCATTTATGTAGATCTATGTCAAGACTAGCTAAGCGTTGATTGATCAGTAGCTGGGGAACAAAATACCTTCCTGTGTCCCATTTGTATCCACACCCGGACAGCTTGTACCCCCCCACCCCCGGACACACATACACAGTTACACGTTGTAACACGTAACAAGTGTGCTGACCGCCAGCCTGACCTCGACACACGCAAAGACATGTGTGAGTGCTAACAACATGTGTGTTGGTATGGAAGGGGGCCACTGCTTTGTTGCATAAAGCAGCTTACACTGCAAGCAGCTTCGTTGAATCCGAGCTTGCTCATTAATGTGTTAGTTGAATCCCAGTTATTTTTATTGATTTTTAAGAATAAAAAAAAACAACAGAGAACCGAACTCCTTTTTTAAAATCCGAGTTCGCGGAAACCGAGTTCCACTGTACGTATAGATTCTATCTTTATGCTTTTCTTAGTACTTGGTGGGCGTAATTCTTGCTTGCAACTTGAAACCAAACTATTTCATGCTGAAAATGCTAACATATTTATAACATATTTTGAAAAAAAAATTGCCCAACGACCAAAAAAATGCCAGATACTTTGATTTCAACATTTTGAGGAGCATCTGATTTCGCAATGATGACTCACAATTGTGTTTATAAAATACAGGCTTTTTCTAATACAAGGTAGAGCTAGCTAGATAGCGGACATTTGGCACATTTCATTTGCATGCATAAAAATATTACTATGTATGTAAAATTCAACAGCAGTCTATGACATGAAATAATGCACTAAAGCAGAGACCGAAGAAGAGGCCTGTCATGGCAAGAAGTATGTCACCAATGGACAGGGCCATGGTGACAGGTGATTAGCATGCTTTCTGCCACAACAATGTCAAAATTTTATAAAAACAAAGCTCTTGGGTGTTTCAAATGTACAGTAATAGATCTTACATGAATAGTCTGACATGTTGTAAGAGCAAAGCCCTAATAGAGGGCAGAAACAATATTCATCTACCAGCTGGGGTTATAAAGTTATGGTCACTTGATGACTTGAAGCTGGGGAGTTACAGACAGCCAGTGTTAGGAAAATCACGATTCTGTCTGCTGATGTCTCGAAACAACTAATGTGATGAAGGACTTACAGTTTTGCATCACTACAAACATGATGAATGAGCCTTGCTCCTCCCCCTCCCCTCTACAACTTCATCAAATATATTTCACCAAAGCAAAGATCGAGATAGATGGATGCCTGTTGTGGCATGGAGTGGGGCATCAAGGGATGAACAACCCCCCACTCTTCCTGCATGCACGCACACACATGTATACTGTTGGTTCAGCTACACTGTACAATTTATATTAAATTAAATATTACAGTGGAGTCCACTTATAACGAGTCCGGAAAAAACGAGAAGTCTAAAGACACTATTCTAAAACCCTGTTTTTTTCTCTTCTTTACCTTTGTAAATAAAATACTGCTTTAGCGCTATCAAACATGTGAGTCGGTTATAGCGGAATATTGCTGCTGCTGTGCACAGTGCATAGGCCAATTATACATTATAATGTAAAACCTCGCCAGTCGAGAAACTTGTTGGTGATCTAGCGAAACAAAGGATGGGAGAGCCCATGTCTGTCAACAATGAAGGCCGGAGTGACAGTAGGGAGGGTGTGGCATGCGCAGACAAGCAGAACGCATCGCGTGATAGGCCAGTGTAAGCCTAGTTTAGATTATCAGGGCCTACCATGCCTCTCACTTCTCCGGTGCGGGGATGGAGAGGTCACAGCAATGTGATGGTTGGAGGGAATGTGTGACGTGCGCAAGCTGACGGAACGCACCACAGGGTGTGGTGTGGTGGGGGAAAACACAGCGGGCGAGTTAGCCCAGAGCCCTTTCTTTCTGATCGCCAACGCCAAGCTGTCAGTCAACATCGCTAGATCTGGCGCTAGAGAAAGAAACCTGATTCGATTTTTGATCAAGTAAGACCTAAAGGTCACGTTGAAACAAAATCATCATCAGGGGAGATATCAAAAGGAAATAAACTAAACACCAAACTCATAGATTAGGATAAGGCCTACTTTACAGTTTCCCTTGAATTTATTACTGGATCCCTTATAGCGAGAATCCTGCTATAACAGACATTTTGCTCCAGTCCCCTCCCTCTTGTTATAACAGGATTCCACTGTATTACCCTCCTGGTCTCAAAGTCCTCTCTCTCTTATTGAGTGGTTGGTGGGCGCTCTTCTTTCCCATCAAACACCTGCTGTCCATATATCTCTCCTTCTTTTCTTTGCATGTTACTCTATATAGACTTTACACTTCTAATCTAACACTACTATGACTTACTTGTGTTGCCAGTTTAGTAAAACTCTGGACTTCAACTACAAAACTAAATTCCCTTGTTTGACTGTTTCTAAAAAAACATATTTTTCAAACACATCTGTGGTGCTCTCTCTATACTATCGAACCTGCTCTTTAAGTAACGGCCACTTGTATAAGACAATCACCTGCACAAACTGTCACATCCCATTTCCCCTCTTATGTTTTTTAAAATTATAACGACACCATGTAAGACATCCATGTGTCTAAGACAACTACGTTTTTCCTCAACAGTGGGAGTTCATTTTATTCTAAGACAATTTCAAATGAATTAGAATATCTTTGATGTCTTGTCATAAAAAAAAACAACAACATTTTTTCCCCCTTACCTGACTTTTCCCTAAAGGGTGTCGAAGCAGAACTTCTCATGATCTCCTCGTCTTTGCTGTGGTTAACATGCACAACCATCTCTGTGTTTGGGTCTAACACCATCGGGCAGCGGTCAACTTGAGACATCGGCACTGGAATGGCATCAGCTCTATCACCACCGGCCATCACACCTTGCAGTCCATTTGAGCTCTGCTCAGCAGCCATATCCGTTTCACAGAGTAGCTTTTTCGTGAAAACACCACTGGAACTATCATTCATTGCACAAACTTTGTTAAATATCTTTGACAACACAGGTTTCTGTTTGTTATTGGATTCCCATTCAGGCTCTGTTTTAATGTTATGGACAAGGGAAGGCTGACTGCTGTTAGCAGCGGAAAAAGACTGTGAGTTTTCCCTGTCCCTACTGAAATACGTCGAGACATTCTTTGGCACATACATGCAGCCACCACTGATAGGGGAGCAGTTGATCTGAGAGAGATCTGGTTTGACCTCTTTTGTGTCGTCGCTCCGCAGAAACAAAACAGATTCATAACTTTCAACAGGATTCTCCCATGTCCGAGGCATAGAAAAAAAATCGGGTTGCAGGGCAGACTTGATATGTGGAGGTACATCGTCCCCGAGGATACCCATGATGATGTCGAAATAAGCCACAGACGGTTTCAATATTTTCTTTCCAGATGCATCTGCCTCTCGGATGTATTTCAGTGCTGTGCGAGCTCTGTGGGACATATCTTTCCAACGATGTTTCAGCTCCTGATTAGAAAAAGAAAGTAAGATAAGATAAGATAAGATAAGATAGTACTTTTTTTATCCAAGAGGGAAATTTTCCTTGGCTGTACAGGACCGTAAAAACACATGCAGGTATACATTAAAAATTTTTTAATTATATATATTACTCTCATTAAAATTCAATATGAAAGGAGAAATAAAGCTGACAAAATGTACATTTACATCAAATGCATCATTCAACCACATGTAGGAATTTAAATACTAGACCTTTGGAGTTACATGCAGATACATACTCTAAGAGCAACAAACATCTATGCTCATTCTGACAAGAGCCTTATGCTAGATGGTAAAAAACTTCTTTTATATCTTTCTTTCTTTGTTTTAGGAGGTACATATCTGCCACTGTGTGATCTTACAATTTGTGTACAGTTGCATTGTAAGCATACATAACACACAGTATAACATGGATAGGTCGAACACAGAAGACTTGAAATCACACATCTGTCGAAACTGTGCCTGCAATCCCGGGTTTTTTTTCTTCTTCTTCATATCTTTGAGAGATATCACACGAACTACAGATCCCTCGAACTACTGGGGCTGGTTCCGACGAATTTGAGCTGTGTTATAACTGTATTTTGGTGAGAAATTTGTTTATGTGTACCTGCATTCCAACAAATTTGAGCTGTGAACTGTATTTAGGTGAGAAATTTTATATGTACCTGCGTACATTTGTAGAGAAGCTTTGACCGCTGGAAACAGACGCCTAACCCTTTGAGCCCTGCCCCCCTCACATACACACACACACACACACACCTTTGAGCCTTCAGGACCAATGCACTTGGGTTAGAACTCTTGTGCACCGACAGCTAGACATACAGTGTACAGAAGGTTACTGGCAGTCAGTCACATTCAGCATGTGCTCAGATCCTTCAGATGAAGGCAATTTATCTTGTGTTGCTGCTGTCATATAAATCAACAAGCTGGGTTTCTATCTCCTTTCAGTTTTAGGTGATGTTACAATGATAGAGGCACTTCATGTCCATAAACATTTTTGCAGTGTCATTAATCAACCATTCTGGTTGACAGTGTAAAAAGGGGAAGGTTTATGGTCTAAGCAATCATTTAATTATTTCAACTATTCAACTATTAGCCCTCATGTTCATTGGCCCTCTATTGATCTACACATTATTTGAAGCAAATAGTAGAAAAGCTGCTTTTTTTTTTTCCTTCACAAACTTCTTGTGTATTTGAAAGTTGCAGCTCTGTGTCATTACAAACACATTTGGAGACCCTATGTTATAATGAAGTTTGCATTTGTTCTCCATCTAATACAATGGAACTTGGATTCAACGAGCTCGGATTCAACGAGAACTCGGATTCAACGAGATGAGATAGATTCCCCGTTTTTTTTTTCTTCTTTAAAATCAATAAGAATAACCCGGATTGAACGAGCACTTAAATCAGCAAGCTCGGATTCAACGAGGTCGCTTCCAGGGTGAACAGCCCCCACAGACGAGGCTTCGCTCATTTTTCTCCCAGAACGAACTTTATCTATTCCCGGAAACCATCAATTGCACCAGCATTGATAACCATTATTCACTTAGCGGATTGCATGCGACCAATCAGCGGCCTTTTTTCATACCAACACATGCGTTGTTGACATGCGCACGTGACTACTCTGGCATGTGTCGGGGTCGGATGGGCGGCCTGCACACGAGTGACTGTGTGTGTCACTTTGGGTCTGCCCCTTTTGCGACGTCCTTCGGGTGTCCAGTGGAGGGCAGTCTTCACAATAGAGTCTGGTTCTCTTCTCAGAACATGTCCAATCCATCTCCATCTTCTCCTTTTTATTGTGGTGGTCATGTCCTCTTGCCTCTTTGCGGTGTTCAGGTCCTCCATCTTCCTGCAAACAGCTTCCTTGTGGCTTTCACTGCCAGCATTCATACGAGTCCCAAGGGACTCTGAAGGTCCATCACACACAGAAATATGGATTCTCTTTGTTGCTGTTTCCGTAACATATGCTCTTTACCAGTCTGGGTTGTTAGCCCTGAGCTGAACCTCCGAAACCTGGAGGGCCGGTGGATCACTCTTCGCCTGACCTCTACCTGTCGACCTGTCTGGCATGGGTGGCCCTACCAGGAGCATTAGCTCCAGCCAGCTTAGCTCTTGGGGTCACTGAGGCACACAAGCTCTCTAACCACAACAAGGTAGTGATCCACCAGAGAGAATTATTATTACATTCGAGCATATATATGTATAAGCTCAAGCAAGCCAGGGGTTGACAGATTTATGTGTTCAACTCATCTATAATTCTGGTTTACGGAAAATCAAAAAAATATCAGTCAGGGAATGCCATATTGTTCCAGGTGTTATTGGTGCCTGACTGTATTACAATGGCCTCTGCCTACGATCCCGGTGCTCAGGAGCAAGGAAAATGCAGGATCTTACCTTAGGCTAACGGGATCTTGGCTCATGCACCAAGGGGAGAATCTACTGTGACCCATGTTAAGGCCCACAACTGCTAAAATGGTTTCCCTTCACTCTAAAATGAACTGGCGGGCTCTCTGGGTGGGTTTATGACATAGGGCGAGCAAAGAGTGATCAGCCATGAAGACCAATCACAGTGGCATAAGCTGTCCCCGTGGTTTTATGCACCCAGCATAATTTAGCAAAATTTGATCATTTTTTGCATAAAATTTCTGATTACTTTCCAGTATCATTCTTTGTTAAAATTAACAAAATCGCATAATTTCATATATATTTATGGGCTCAGTTAGCTATAATTTCAAAATTTTTCTTGCATAAAACGATGGGGACAGCATAAGGCATAGCATGCCATTTTCACTAACTATTGTATCGAGAGTATATCAAGATCTACGCTTATATCATAATCCAGTTGCCCCTCCCCTTCACCTGTCCAAAATTTAAAGCTTTCCATCTCTGATGGAGTTACAATTCAGCCTGTCTCACAAATTCAGGAGTAGAGACAACTGCTGCAATTGTCAGGAAAGAGTTCACAATTCGATGTGATCCCCGCCTGGAGCAAATTTGTAGGCCCTACCCATTAAGCGAGTGATGTAGGTTTAGGTGGAGAGCTCAGATGTGAGTGTAATGTCTGAGGGAAAACAAATGCATCGGTCAGTTCACACCTCGATGTGATCCTTTCTGGGCCAATCATTGCACAATTTCATCAAGTTTTATAACGCTTATGTGATCATATTCATGAGAGTGACTGATCTTTGTCTTTGATGCGACAGGCAGTTCAATTATCTCTAATTTTCACTCTTGGTTGACCGGCTGCGCCCCCCCCCCCCTAAATTATGGTCTGAAATGCTGGATTTTTTTAGCTTAACATAGCATATATAGACCTTCAGAGTGAATTAAGAGTGGGATCTTAGGGGTGACTTTTGTATAGTAAAAATTCTGTTTTCTTAAAACAGTGGAATCTTAAGCGAACTGGGGTTGTAAGCATTGGGATCTTAGGCGGAAACAAGTAAGTAACTAACTGTATTTTTATTTATCATCACATGTCAACTCACCTCTATCGTTCTCTCTGCACTATTGGGGACAGCATTCACGACTTGAGCAATATTAGCCCAAATGTCTGCCCGCTGACTGTAGCTGAGAGCCCCTGGACCGCTTCTTCTGAAGAGCAAGTGCTTGTAGATGTGTAGCTGCTCCAAGAGAGCAATTGTCTCTTCCTGCGTGTAGTTCGGCTTTCTGACACGGTTATACATTTTGTCTTAACTGTGAACAAATTTCATATTACAATTCATTATGGTTTAATCAAAAATAGATTTTACATGGCACAAGAAAATGCAAAACTATTTTTTTTAAATTTTAAATTAGAAAACAAACATTTATAGCGTTAAAAAACAAGAGGGAACATCTCCATCACCTGGGTGTTCTGGTGTGGTTGGTCTTTCCATTTAAAAGTAAGAGTTTTACGGCACTTGCAAAACAATAAGGTCATATATATAAGTACCGAAGATTAGATGTGTTAAAAGAGAGTAACCAACACAAAATAGAAGGAGGGGAGATAAGGACGACAGATGTTTGACAGGAAAGAAGTAGAAGGGGACTCAATATGGAAGCTCATGCGCCACTACGGAATACCTGACAAGTTCGCGAGATTGATCAAGAAGATGTGTATGAGGGAATGAGCTGCAGTGTCTTACTTGGGAGGGCAGCGGACAGACTCATTATTATTATTATTATATTGACTTTAGAAATTATAAAGTCAAAAAGTACACCTCCAGTCTGTGGAAGAGCCACTGTGAAAAACAGAAAAACAATCAACTGTATATATATATATATTATATATAAAACCCAAACTGGAACAGCGAAATCCTTCGGACCTCTCCAGAAGTCCAGAAGAGACGAAGTCATTTTTACTCGATTGCGCATTGGACACACGGCCCTGACCCACAAATACCTTCTACAGGGAGATGAGAAGCCGTTCTGTGTCGGTTGCGACACAGATTTTTTACCATTAGGACCATTTCAGATAGTGTATGAATTTTCTGTTGTAACGTAACTATTTTTGGGTGTAGGAGTGTGTAGTTTGTGAGTCAGGTGATGCAAGACAGAGAGTCAGAAAGGATTTATATATATATATAAGGAAAAATTTGTTAGGAGAATTTCCTACGGAGTTCAGTGCCATGTCAATCAATGGCAGTGGCCTCCGCAGAGAAAATGGAGGCTTCAGGATGGAGTCTCCTCTGGTGTGTACTGTTGGGAGATAGGGCTGCGGCGCCCACTTCATTGTCTTTTTTGGAGCCATCTGTGAAGATGAGCTCCGCACCGGGGTATTTATCTATTAGTTTTTTGTATTCTGCTTTAAAGGTTTGGGTGTTTTTTTGGTGCTTTCTTTATTGAGTGTGGTCAGCTGTAAGTCTACTTTTGCCTTGGTAAGGTGCCACGGAGGGAGGTCGGGGAAAAGAAATTGTTGGATGTCTTGTTTGGAAAAGTGTAAGTTTTTGAGGTCCTCAAGGATTCTGAGGCCGAAGGGTTTGATTCAGTTTTTCGTTGCTTCGGAATTTGTTTTTATGGTTTCTGGGTTTGTTTTAAAAATGCAGTTGTGCGCTGGATTTTCCGGTGTTGAGCTCTGTTTACTTGCGTATTGACAGGCTTTGACAATGATATTCGATATTTATGCACTCGAATATAGTGAAGATGTTCGATACGAAAATAGACACAAGTTTATTTTCCCTTCCCTACGAAATCCAATGGCTGAACTTGTCACAGACTAAAAACTTTAAAAAATCATCCGATCAGCTGATTATCATCGAATCAATTGACCTAGATCTAGAATCTATGTTTAAGTTACTGTGTAACTTTGTGTGTAACCCACGGCCCACAGAACGACTCGAAGAACAAAACAAAACGAACTCGGGTGGTAAATAAATAGACCGCAAGGTTTTGTATTGCCTGTATTTCAAGTCCGATAAATCTACAATATATTCGCTTGGCCACTGATAAATGTCCCCACCCGGAAGACTCCTACACAAAATAATTAAACAATCACTCACAGTCAATGATGGTGAACAGACGTCGCCTGCAATTGCAGTATTAAATTGCAGTGCAGTCGGTGTTTATTGAGAACACAGTATTGGATTAATTGGAATCTTTTCGACTGACCAAAAATGCAAAACCGAGTACCATTTGTTTAGCAACAGCGATAATGAACCTTATCACGATTATAAAAATAAGTGTAGAGAATCTATTCTAAATCACCGAAAGATTTGAGAACAAAATACCTCTTTCAAGCCCAACAAGAGCTTGTTTGTTGGGGCTGACTGTACTTTGTAGTCAGATGTTTTTGTTTACAATTTCCCTGTGCGATCCAACAATGTTGTAGACATTATGGACATTCAGAATGAAATAGACACTAGGGTACCTTTAATGTTACTAAATATTGGATAGGCCTAGGCTAGATCGACAAATGAGTTCCCAGAAAAAATACTCACAAAGCTTTGGTACTCACCAAGAATCTAGAGTCTATTCCGTGTCGATTTCTCCAGACTCCAGACTAAAGACATTGCCAACTGCCAAGGGAAATAACCAGCCACCAGGTGCTACTTTCTGTTTCTGGCTTCAGAGATTCACGGAAGATCTACATAAATTGGGGACCGGAAGTTTCCTACGACGTACAATCAAAGATTCTCTACTACACGGTCTTTGGTACAATTATTGAGGTTGGATTAAAAAAAGCAACTTAATTTTCTTAATAAATTTATAGATCTAGGCTTTAAAATAATAATGATAAAACTTCGTCACCCGAAATATTGGATTGTTCTGAAAAGGTGGATTGTCCATAGCACTGCTCCCGCTTCTCTTGCACTTTCACACATGTTTTGTATCACGCATAAAATAATAAGATAGATAAAAAAAAAATATATATAATTATCTAGCCTACGTCACGTAAAGTTCACCAGTGACACTTACAGTGACAAATTTAAACTATAGTTAGGCCTACAAGAAATTAATGTTATTTGAAACACTTTTTTGCACAAAAGGTTCTCAAAACAAGCGTGCTATAAAACTAGAGAAACGATTTTAAAAATTATTTTTATTTTTTAAATTTTTTTTTTTTGGGGGGGGGAGGTTGGATGATGGACTTATTTTTTAATAGCACCTTGATAAGATATTGCCCAAGCTGTAAACCTTTTAAAAAATCTGTAGAACACATACTTGAATGTTTTTATTTGGTATAGGAATTTTCTAGAAAACAGCTTACAGGTGTTTTACAAAATATTCAAATTGATACCACTCCTTGTACAAACGCTGGATATATAATACATTATATTCGATCGTTTAGGACATTTTTGACAATACAAGTTGCGCCGCGAATTTTTTACTGCACAAGATCTATACATTTTATTAATTATGTGTTGGAATGAGGTGAAAGCATTAGCAGCTCCTCAACTTTTCGACAGATGATGTTATATTATGTATATTGTTACAAGTTGTTATTGCAATTATTATAAAGTTAAAGTTGCCCTCACCAACAACATCGATAATTCAGGAGGCCAGGTGCTTCGGATCGACACACCTACATGCCTACCAGAGCCAATGGCCTGTACTGAAAGATACAATACATCCCAGCCCAGCAGACCATCATCAATAATTTATTTGTCCAAGTCCAGGCAAACATTCTCAGATTGGTCCTGGTGCCATTTTAGCCAGCCCAGCAGAACATATAAACAGCGGGGTCAAGGAGCTTGAACTACTGTAACCTCCTTGAGTGGGCCACGGCTTGGACCGCCTGGACGACGTGATCTTGATATTATATCCCTGCTATTGAAGGGTGGGATCGTTTTTGTTACGCGTACAGATAATAGAGAGACCGTCGCAATCGCGCAAAGGAAACAAGAGTTTCAATTCCCGAGTGAGAAAGACTTAGTTTTACCGAGAATCTTCGTCTGCTTACCATGACACTGTATCATTTCCATCCAGGGCCTTGACAGATAGGGTCAAAGCTGCAAACACCTACTAAATTACATTATGTCGACGGAGAGGGGGCCCGGGGGTGTAAATCACTTTGGCCTTATTATATTATAATGACCTAAAACTTAAAACATTGTATTATTATAATTTAATAAATAACAGTTTCTCGGACTAGGATTTAAAAAAGAATTATGTATCCAACACCTTGCTCTATTAGATCTAGTAAGTTATCATGATGTGCAGCGACAGAAAGCAAAAATTTTTTTTTTTAATTAAGGGGGGGGGGGGGGGGGCTTTGTCGTGGTCGAGAAGTTACGTTGTTCGCCTTTCATTCGTCCCTGGTTCAAATCTCGATAGCGGCGGAAAATGTTCTTCTCTAACAATTTAATTTTCTCCTTTCACTCCCTTGTCTGCTCTTTAATATTATACAATGTTCTTTTGTCTGCTTTTTGTCTCTACTTTCTGCCCCCACCCACTCACCTCCTTTGCCCACTCTTCTGGGGTCTTAACTCTTTCTGCAGCCTTTCTACTGCTTCTACTTGACTCCTTCTTATTGCTGTCTTTCATCAGACACACACTTGATCTTATGATATAAGCAAGATCTACGCCTAGGCTTCTCGGATAAGGGCGAAAAATCTCGGAGTTTCCTGTGTGCAAGTTGTGTAAAGAGAAGCACATCGACACAATACATTGTAAAATGGTCATAGTGCTGGGAAAAGAAAGACAGATACTGATAGAAATAACAGTGAAAGTAAAGAAGTATAGGACCTTCAGTGGCGCCCTCCAACCACCCGCTCTGATGACGAAAAGAAGCAATGAAATCAAAGCAAGAAATCACAACATCTACATGTTCAATCATTGGTGTCTGTGGTGTAGCGGATAGGCGTTTCGCTGTCACTCACAGGAGACCGGGTTCGTTTGTTGTTGTATTAGAAAGAGTTTTACGGCGCTCGCAACTGCATAATATGGTCATATGAGAGCGAGACACACACGTTGATCCCATTCACAACAGCTCACTGCACGGCACGGCTTGGCTCGAGTCAACGATCAGATTTTAAACTGTTAAAAAAAATTGAGCTAAAATTAAAATAAATTTGAGGTAAGATAAATATCTTAAAAATGAAAATCTGCTTTGAAATCAAAATATATTACGGTTATTTACAATGTTCCATATATAGGCCAATATAATATGGCCGTTATAAAATCAAGGATTCTGTTGGAATCAACGACGGAGAACAGGTCTTGCAATTTCTTGCATCTTAAATATTTCCTTCGGGTCTCTCCAAAGTCTAGACATTCTGTTAAAATGTGTCTAGTGGTAAAATCTGTGTCGCATCTGACACAGAACGGTTTTTCATCTCCCTGAAGGAGGTATTTATGTCTCAGGGACTTGTGTCGATGCGTAATCGAGTAAAAATGACTTCGTCTCTTCTGGAGAGGCCCGAAGGTTTTCGTGGACCCAGTTTGGGCTTAATGTTGTGAAGTTTGTTGTTTTCTTGTTTTTTTCCAATGAGCCTCCCACAGACTGAAGACCGGGTTCGATTCCTGAGAAGGGAAAAAATTTGAATCGAGTTAATAAAATACTGCTATAGGCGCTATCAGACAAACATGCGAGTTAGTATATAGCGGAATATTGCTGCTGCTGTGCACAGTGCATAGGCCAATTATACATAGTGCAAAACCTCGCCAGTTAAGAAACTTGTTGGTGATCTTGCAAAACAAAGAATAGGAGAGCCCATGTGCGTCAACAATGAAGGCTGGAGCGACTGAGTAGGGAGGCTGTGGCATGCGCAGACAAGCAGAACGTATTGTTTGTTGATAGGCCAGCGTAAGCCCAGTTTAGATTATCAAGGCCTACCTACCATGCCTCTCACTTCTCCGATGCAGGGATGGAGAGGTCACAGCAATGTGATGGAGGGAGCGAATGCGTGACGTGCGCAAGTAGACAGAATGCACCACGGGGTAGGGTGGGGTGGGGGAAAACACAGCAGGCGAGTTAGCCTAGAAGAGCCCTTTCTTTCTGATCGCCAACGCCGAGCTGTCACTGTCAGTCCACATCGCTAGATCTCTAGCGCTAGAGAAAGAAACCTGATTCGAATTTTGATCAAGTAAGACCTAGAGGTCATGTTGAAACAAAATCATCATCAGGGGAGATAACAAAAGGAAATAAACAGAACAACAAACTCATAGATTAAGCCTACTTTACAGTTTCCCTTGAATTTATTACTGGATCCCTTACAGCGAGAACCCTGCTATAACGGACATTTTGCTCCGGGCCCCTCCCTCTCGTTATAACAGGATTCCACTGTAGTATTATAATGTATCCCTCTCAGATTCTCAGTCCAGGTTGGCCCTGACAGGCAGTGTCAAAGCCCACCTGTTTTCTTTTCACAATGTTTCTGCACTCCGTCGGTTTCATGCTGGACAACAGAATGGATGGCCCATGATTTGAAAACCAGAATGGGCGTTCTTGAACTTGGGCTGCTTTGTGGAGTTTTCAAGGTTCCCATCTAATTTGGCTCGGTCCCATCGGAGACAGACCCCAAGGGAAGACCCGGATCGGCGATCCGAGAGAATATTGATAAGTTTTCAAAATATAGATTTTTGGGGGTGAAAAAACACCCTTGACCTGTTCTATTCCATCGGGTCACAATGACGAAATTGTTGGAAAAAAACCCCCAAACCAAAACAACATAAAAATTCCTTAAAAAAAAATATTTTCTCAAAATCTCTTTAATATATGTGACCTCCTTTGTGTAAGGAGTTGTCAAAAACCCCTGAAGTGAGAAGCTTCACATTTGGCATACAACAAGTGCTTTAAGACTTATTCTGGGGATCTATGTCAGGAAATTGGTACCTTTAAAATATAGATTAGATCTATACACCCCAAAGTTTCGTCAACTGACTCTCGGGGATCGACTTACTTTGGGCTCACTTTTTTACCTTTAAAGATAGGTCAAAATCCTCACATAGATCCACAGTCCATATAGGTTTGTATTTGTCCCTTGCGTACCATATTTCAGGCTGTAGTTTCAATATTTTCTATGAAATTCTCCCGCACTAAGAAAATTGCTTTAAAAATCCAAGACAGCAGCCACAGAGATCCATTTTTCAGGAAAAAATCAATACATGTAAATTCACCCTTAGTACACGTACATCCTATTTGCCAATGAACTTCTTGCACAATTACATGAAAGTGAGTAAAAGTCATTCTTTAGAAAATTTTCCCGAGCGTGCACGTCTCCCCTTAAACTGGAGATCCCGCCTCATACGCGTACATACATTCTTTTTTTTTTTTTAGCTGGAATTTAACTCAGGTCTTCTGAAATCTACACCACACACGCCGGTTGGTTTTCTACAATATTCCCTTACGGGAAGAGGCTGTTTTAGTATAGATAAAATTGCCTTACGGCGTTAGAGTTACAGCAAGTTCGACTACAATATTCTATAAATAACTAAAATAACATACAAAGCCTGTACAAAAGGGCAAAAATAAAACAGACGACTGACAATTATTCATAGAGGAAAGAAAACAAATCCGGTTACAATATAAGTCAAATGTTTATTCAACAATGCCTGATACTAAAAAGAAAGAACAAACAAAACAAAAGACCCCCCCCCCGAAAAAAACACAGCAAAA